TTTTTTTTTTAAATCCAGAACAGCTAAAATCTATTCACTTAGCAAAAATCTCAAATACAATACAATTGTATCAGCCACAGCCCTCATGGATAGATGATCTCTCTAGACTTAATCATCCTAGTATCCTTTGGCTACCTTGTATCCTTTGGCTACAACTCTGTGTCCTCCTTCCAAGTCTTGTCTTTACTTCTCCCATAGCCAGCAGTGGCTGATTTGTAACCAAAGAGAAAGGAAGGAAAGGAGGCAGCAATGGAGACAGGGGGCCATGAGAGAGGGCAGAGCCATGAGACAGACATGGGGACAAAGAAACCAACGTCAGTGCACTGGCACCGCAGGTGAGAGCAGGCCTGGAGTAGGGGTGGGGAGCCAAACAATGGAAGGCAGACTTCACTGGGCGCAGGAAGAGATGCAGAGAGAAAAGAGCAACACAGGGAAGGAACACAAAAGGGACAAAAGTCCTGCCCTCTCTAATGCCTCTACAAAGTGAGGGGACAGAGAAGGTCCTTTCTCCACCCCTCCTGTCCTGACTCAGCCCCTGGGGTGCTCCTGAGGGGAGGAGCCAGGTGAGGGCCTTGGTGAGTGGCAGGAAAGGCCAGGTTCTGAAGGGGAGATGAGCTGACCAGCAGGGCTCACCTCCGTTTGATGAAAGACACTCATTTGACTGCAGCTCCCTGTTTTCGGGCTCAGCTGTTTTCTTCTCTTCCTTTCTGGAACCACGCCCAGAACACAGGCTGTGGAAACAGAAGCCCCAGCAGCCAGGCCAGGGACTGTGAGCTGCACCCAAGACCCAGACTGGAGGGAACAGTGCAGTGGATCCCCATTTCCCCATTTCCCTGCACAACGGAGCCACCTTTGAACCACCCCAGGGTCCAGATGGGATCCGATCAGGACGCCTGGGGGTAAAAACCAGGCTCCCATTTTTCAAAAATAATCTCCAAATGATTCTAGTGATTCTAATATGCAGAAAAGTAGGGGGTGCTCTGGTAGCCTGGGAAGAGGACGGGCCTGGGGTTCCCGTCTCAGCCCTGCCTCTTCCTAGCTTCAGGAACATTCTCAGATCCACCCCTTATGGGCCTCACTTTTCCCATTTAGAACATGGAGGTAAGAGCTGGGTGCAGTGGGGCAGGCCTGTAATCCCAGCGGCTTGGGAGGCTGAGGCAGGAGGACCACAAGTTCAAGGCCAGCCTCAGCAACTTAGCAAGTCCCTAAGTAACTTAGTGAGACCCCTGTCTCCAAATAAAATATTTTCTAAAAGGGCTGGGGATGTGGCTCAGTGGTTAAGTGCCTCTGGGTTCAATCCCCAGTACAGAAAAAGAATATCTGAGAAGATTGTTGTGAGAATG